GATCTGATCCTTGCCACTCACCCAGACGTTGTTTCTTCAATATCATGCATGCCTTGTATCAGTGACCATCACGTACTTCACTTTATTCTTAACATACCTAAAGGGCCATCACTACCAATATTCAAATCTATTCGAGATTACAAGGCGGCAGATTTCACTACAATTAACCAAAAGCTGTGTAAATTTCTTGATGAATATTTAGAAGGGTTTCAGAATCGCTCTCTCGAGACGAATTGGAGTCTGTTTAAAACTATTGTAGATTCTTTGACTGTAAACTATATTCCATCTGTTAATATTCGCCACTATGCTGACGCACCCTGGTACAATAGAAAGCTGAAAAGACTGTCCAACAAAAAGAGAAGATTGTTCCGTGCCGCTAAACACGTTTCATCTGAATTGCGTTGGCAGGCCTATCACGATATTGCTGACGAGTATGCCAAAACAGTAAAAAATGCAAAACAAATTTTCTTTAACCATACGCTTCCATCCATGCTTCTTAATAACCCTAAACGATTTTGGAATATTGTCAGCAATAGCGTAACCAAAAATATATCTCTTACTTCTTCTGATGGGATAATTGTGGAACCTGCCCAGTGTGCTTCTGTGTTGAATGATGTCTTTGTTAGTTCATTCTCAGCTCTTAGTAACACTTATGTGCCTCCTCTAACTTCTCGGAATTTTTTACCAATGGACCCTATCTTCATTGATGTCATAGGAGTATCTAAGGTAATAGATGTGTTGAAGTGTTCATCAGCCGCAGGTGTTGACGGTATTAACTCTAAATTTCTAAAAAGCACTAAAATGTATTCGGCCATCATTCTTTCTAAACTATTCTCCCAATCACTTGAGTCAGGGTCCATACCTGATGATTGGAAGACAGGGAAGGTGGTACCGTTGCATAAATCAGGTGACAGCCATGACCCATTCAACTACCGTCCCATCTCTCTAACGAGTGTTCCTTGTAAAGTCCTCGAACATATCATCTGCTCCCATTTAGTGTCTTTCCTTGAATCAAATAGTTTCTTCTCGTCCGCTCAACATGGCTTCAGAAGGCCATTTTCATGCGATACTCAATTATTGTCTTTCACTCATGAGCTCCACTCCTTCCTTGATAACGGCTCTAGCACTGACTGTGTTTTCTTAGATTTTTCAAAAGCCTTCGATAAAGTATCCCATAAGCTACTAATCCATAAGCTTCGCACTCTAAACATTGATCCTTATGTGCTTGATTGGATTATCGCCTTTCTATCTCATCGGGTCCAGTTCGTCAACGTAAATAATAATAATTCTCATTTGGTGCCTGTCGATTCCGGTGTACCGCAAGGTTCTGTAATTGGTCCCCTGTTGTTTCTAATTTATATTAATGATCTTGTAACTAATATTTCCTCGCCGATCTGCTTGTTCGCTGACGACTGTGTCCTTTTCCGCAATATAACTGACCATTCTGATGTAATTCATTTGCAATCTGATCTTGACGTCATAGCTCTCTGGTGCAACTCTTGGCAAATGGAACTTAACACTAATAAATGTAAGTCAATGAGAGTATCCCGCTCTAACAGTTTATGTCCTACTTATAGCATTAACAATAAATCCCTTGAGTCTGTTACATGTTATAAATACCTTGGAGTCCATATAACTTCTGACCTTACCTGGAATACACACGTCGAATATGTTGTAAGTAATGCTAACCGCACGTTGGGTTACATAAAACGAAACTTTTTTCAAGCCCCTTCTTCTCTTAAACTAACCTTATACAAGTCCTTAGTCCGTCCTAAATTAGAATATGCGTCATCCATATGGGACCCTGGTCACCAAGGTCTTATCAGCAGATTAGAAGCTACACAAAACCGAGCCGTTCGTTTCATCTTATCTAACTATCATCGTACAGCCAGTGTAACATCAATGCAATTAACTTTGTCACTTCCCAGTTTGTCGTCTCGGCGCAAATCAGCTCGTTTATGCCTGTTTCACAAAATTTATCATCACATCCCATCTCTCCGTTTGAAACTAATGCTCGAGCCCTCTTACCGTTCATCCCGTCTCGACCATATTCACAAGGTAGGCATACCTAATTTTAACACCTTCAAATTCAGCACCTCGTTCATACCTCGCACATCGACTGACTGGAACCACCTTCCCGCTTCTATTGCAGATATTAATGATATTTCACTCTTTAAGCAATCACTTATTAACAGCACCCTTGGTTGATTATTACGTTTATTTATTGTTTGCTCACTCCCCTCTAAAATGTACTCTGTACCTTGAGGGTAAATAAATAAATAAATAAATAAATAAATAATCAAAACCTGTGCACTAGAATTTTGACGTCATCAAGGTGAGATCGAGCGAAGACAGCGATTGGATACAAGTGCTGCGTCAGTGCTCGGCTGGGCCTCGTGTCCAATCAAGGGCGCTCGGTATCGGGCTCGGGTCCAATCGCTGAGTTGGCGCCGTCCGACTGCGATTACGTTCCACGGAGAAAGGAGTGGGGCGTTCGAAGGCCTTCATTATTCTAGATGGTATCGACCTAACTCAAGACGTAAAATATGTTCTGCCAGAAGTCGTCGCCTTCCACCATCCTTCCCCGCAGAGCTTCGCATTCTTTCTCTGCATACGTCCCCCTCTACACTCTTCGCTGAACGTCGACATTAGGGAGTTTTCATAGACGGTTTTCCCACCTCCGCCATGCACTCCGGAAGGAAGACGCCACTACTGCGCAAGCGCGGCGCTAGCCTCGCTTGCAGAGTCCCGGATCTCGTAGTGGGTTGCGGGGAACGTTGCGGGACGGCGGAAACGATCTAGGAAAATTCCCTATTACCCCTTTCCCTTCACCGCTCAACAATATCGGGAAAACCTGCTCCTCCATTTACGTCCCAGGAGCGAGCGCGGAGGGAACGCCTGGCGTTCCCTCCGCGCTCGCGTTCCACCGAAAGGCCGCCCGTGATGCGCGTATTCGCGACTCCAGCAAAGCGGACGCCACCAAGCGGGAAAACTGGGAACCAGCCGGTCCAGGTCGCTCCGCGCCCCTCCGCGTCTCTGGTGGCTTTCGCGGACACGTGTTGTCGGCGCGGTGGCGAACAATGTAATTTGACGAGGGTCCGAAAGTTTGCCTGAGTGTTCATTAGTGTGGTGAAGCCTCAGTACATTGTTTCCTTCCATCGCGTGTTTGAAAGCCCGTTTACTCCACAACGGACGGTCGCGTGCTTTTGATTTCCTGGATGGGGAGGAATCACGGAAAACCGTTTCGATTTCTTGTCTGCCTCGAATCACATTCAAAGTGACGACTACTTGGTAGCTGATAAGTGGTTTCTTTATAAGGATGTAGAACAGTGGACTGAGGACGACAGACGAGGTGTTTCACTGGAGGGAACACCAGCGTTGCAGTCAAGTGAATGGGAAGGTTCGACAGCTGCTTTTCTTGAGTTTGGTTGTGTTTGATTAGCTTCAAGTTTGTGCCACCCACGCCGGTCGGTGCGTTGACTATTCATCTTGGCTGCTTTTCGCCGAAAAAGCCTCTGAACCACACTGGAGGAGTTGGGTTGATTTCGCAATTACTTGATTCAGGAAAACCTGCTCGCTGCATATGATTAATGAGGGAAATTATCTGCTTTCAAAAGGTGGAGGACGCGTCTCGCAAAGTAAGAAGCTGTCACGGCATTATGATCTATCGCGCCTCCAATATTTATATTATACCCCCGTCGAAGCCTATCAGCAATATGCGTCTACATTGCTCAGGTTTACCGGCCACAGAAAATGCTCATTTTCTCCGTTCAGGATTCGAGGTCAAGTTCAATGCAGACAAGTTCTGCGTGAATCTCCAATGAAGACTCTCTTCAGTTCGTCCGCATTCGTCTCCGTGCTACCGGCTAGAACCATTTGGCTGAGTTTAAGTAGTATCTCTCTGTCTGCCAAATATTATTCAGCCGTTCATCTAATAGCTAGTCAACTAAGTTCATATTTCAACCCGAAGAATATACTAATATCGCTTTAGTGGGACATAGTTCGTAATATAATATATAACCCGCTCGTCAAAATGAATTCTAGATTGCTACTAAAACCAGAATTGAAATAAGAGTATCAGCTGCGTAGTGGGGCGCCAGCGGGTTAAAATGCTCCTCGGCTCAAGAAGCGCTCGCTCAATTTTCGTAATTTTCCTGCAGCCTGTGTTGTTGACCGCACAAAAGCCCGATTTCGTGGACAGATAAGTCGCATGGTCGAGACATGCGAGTTAGCTGAAAATTGCTCTCGGTGGAACAATTTTGTGGTCATCGCCGCTTTCCTTAGATGATCAAAACTGATTAAAGTCTATTACGTACGGTCTCTCCGGAGCCCATAGTTTCGGTTTTGAACGAAATCTCCGAAGCGAAAGTTTGACATGAAAAGAGTAAAAAACAACGGGAAAACAAAACTATGCTTTGCAAGTTTATGTGCACCGGCTACACGTAACCATCTCAGTTCAGATACCTATAAAATTTGGCATTAAACAAAAGAACATCTGTTAAATTCAATGCGCCACCCGCTCAGGCAGCCCGGCCGAGCCGACGCGACCTGGACTCAGCCGCCATGTTTGTTTGGTGGTGGCGCCCCCTATAGGTCGCTGGAGTCGCGATATAGCGACGTGAGAACCCCAAGGTACGATCGCGCGCGAGGCAGATGCGCGTACACGGCGACGTACGACTATCGCGTTTACCTCTTCGTACAATGTGAGCGAGAATAGGAACGTTTTCATAAACAGCATTCCACAGAACACTTACTCTTTGATAACCACTGATGCGCTCAACACGTTGCGAAATGAAATGTTGCTTTCGACGTGCTTTCTCTCTTCAAATTTCCTAAAGTTTGGATACCTTCAACGTGTTCCCGCTTTACCCGTACGATTGACATACGTTTAATTTTTTTTAACACTGTGAGTACATGATGTGCTGCACAAGTCAGAGTCGTAATGAAGGCTGCCCTGGTCGAGAGGTGCAGCACATGTCGTGAATGTCCCGCTCTCGCAGCATGATCGGAGCAGAGTTCACGGCAGCCGTGGTGCTCATCTCCTTCGGCGCCGTCCTGGGAAAGACAAGTCCGCTCCAGCTCCTCGTCATGGCCATCATCGAAGTGGTCATCTTTGCCTGCAACGAACATCTGGGCATTGAAAAATTGTTTGTACGTTTACAATTGTCTTTATTAAAAGAACACCATGCCGAATTATTATGTTAATTTATGTTTCGGACCTCACTCTAAAAAAGTGTACGAGTTTAATTTCCTACAGAACGCGAAAAAAGTTAATCACGGCGAACTAAGGATCCCAGCATGAACCTCAGAACCTGGAAAAGGCGTTGTGCGCAGGAACAGTGAGCGCATTGCATTTTTTGTGGTCGCGAAAATTCGCAACGCATTTTTTGTCATCGAACCGTATTTTCAGCTTTGTGATTCGCTGGTGAATTCTTCTATTGTTCGCCGTGATTGACTGTCTCCATGTTCTGCAGGAAAGTCAACTCAAATACTTTTTAAGGGTGTTGCTTTAACGGGTTTTTGTTGCACGTAACTAGAAAAGCGCTAAGAAAACACGCTAAACCCCTTTATGACTGTAGAATCACATCACTTTCTGCATGTCGTTTGTTATTACTTCCATCTTCATTTACACAACTCTAAAACTAGATCCGCGGTTTAACACAAACCTTAGCTACTATGACTTACGATCTTACTCGCTTGGCACACCAAAGGACATAAATAAACAGTATTTTGCGAAACATTTGTTTTCGTTAAAATTCTTTATATTGCATATAATTTTGTTTTCCCGGAAGGACTTAAGGCCCCCTACCTCTTTTAGGACATTTAAGAACGTGTTTTAAGCTTCAACGATAAAATACAAAATCACGTGGTGTTCATTCTAGACGGAGCCCTTTTTCACGTTAGGGTCTTGGCAACAATGATAAACCCTTTGTCAGTGAGTGCAACACTAAATTGTATTTTTAATGTACAGTGTTTACATTTCAATTGTTTTTTCCCGGGATTCTAAATCTCGTTTCTTATTTTTTTATGTATTTTATTTTGCTCTGTCATTATCATTACCTTTATCAATTATATAGTAGACTTTCGGTTCTCCCAGGGTCTTGAAGTTACGAAAGAAAAGAATCAGTACAAAAGTATAAAGGGTACTCGTACGAACCGCGGTGCAAATTAATGCTATAAAACATAACAAAACAAAAACAAAACAAAAGCAGAGACTGCGAAGAGAATCAATTGTTGTCTGCGGAGACAGTAGGAATAAACACGGGAAAAGAAATGGCGGTACGATCGTGTCGTCACGTTTCCCAGTGTTGCACCAGCATCAGCTAACACCCTGGTGGCCTGTCGCTAAGAAGCTGGTGATTGCATTTTGGAGAACGGTTTTACAAGGGAATGCGACGCCATATTGTGGCCACGCCCTTATTTTCTCTACTGAAGCGATAGCAGGCTTTATCATAGTTCGACTTTTGAGCGGAGTCACCCTTTAGTACCAGGCACTTCTAGGTCTCGCTGTAACTCGCTCGAAGCTTTATTCGACGACAAGGAGGAAGTTCAGTCGGTCCTGCAGATCGTTGGGCCGACCCCCGTTAGCTCAATCTCGTTTCCGGCGCATCCCGACACTCCGGTGACGTACAGCTTCACCGGATACCCGTCTGTAACCGTGGTGCGCTCATGCCCAGGCGGTGGACATCGGCGGATCCATCTTCCTGCACACGTTCGGCGCCTACTTCGGCCTGGCAGTGACCTTCGTGCTCAACAAGAAGGAGTACCGGGAGCACAGCAAGGACGGCTCCGTTTACCATTCCGACGTGTTCGCCATGATCGGTGAGACGTCCTCAAACGTGTACTACTCGGCAGTAATTGACCTTTTTCACCCTAATTACCCACGTTTTTGTTGTTTGTTGTTCATTGTGCTTAGGCGTACGAGCGGCTTCTGCAGATCGTTTTTCTGTGTCCGATACTACAAAAGAAAAATGCTGTTTAAAAGAAAATAAGAAGAAGAAGCTCTATAGATAGCATTTTAAGTACCAAAGTCTGCGTGAATATTTTTTACGAGGGTGACTAATCGGCAGCAGCTCATCTAAATTAACCCGTGACTGGCATGTTTCTTTTCTTATTTTTTAATTCCTTGCGAAGTATAAGATTGCTTGATTTGTTCAGCAGGCTTTCTGGAGTGTTCCTGTTGCATGATATGGTATTCTGTTCCTTTGACGCCATTTCTACGGGCTCTTAAATGATGGTTGCAACGCATTCCGTGCTCACTCGAGCAATATCTCATTTCGATAACCATACTCCGCAGGTCTACTTCCCCATAGCGCCTGCAGATAGTTAATACATGCGATCTAATAAAGAAGCTTGACCAATCACAACACCGAAATAGAAATGTCAAGTGAACTTTATCCTGAAAGTCCTATAATCCGTGCAATGCAGAATTTAAAGCGCAATCTTTGCCATCTCTTTCGGAAACATAAAACACCGATAAATGTTGAAAAAAAAAGAAGAAAAAAAAAACGCAGGCGAGCTTACTTTTGGATTTATCACGATGACCATAAAACGCTTATTCCCACAAAATATAACGGGGAAATTAACGTCACGTGGTGTCAGGTCACGCAACATCACGGTGTAATGTGACATCATTTTTTTAGGGGGGAGGGGATTATTACGTAACAACACAGTATGTCTGTGGGTCAGTTATTCGATTTGATCATTCCACAAATCGCAATAATCTTGGCGGCCCGAACATGGGTTGTTTTAGCAAGTTGTGTTTTCGTAGAAGGATGCTCGCGTTGCCACTTCAAGGGTGCTGGCTTGCCTGGGGCAGTATCGGGACCCTTGGAAACAGTTTGCTAAAAACCTTCAATGAATATGCATCCTTGCTCATTACGTTGTGCTTCTCTCTAATCTCAGGCACGTTGTTCCTCTGGCTGTTCTGGCCAAGCTTCAATGGGGCTCTCGCGTTCGGGGACGCCAGGCACCGGGCGGTCATCAACACCTTCATGTGTCTGCTGGCCTGCACGGTCACCGCGTTCGCCGTCTCCTCGTTGCTCGACTCCAAGAACCGCTTCAACATGGCAAGCACGCGAGTTTTTGGGCTGCATATTTCGTTCGTTCCAGCTTCCCAGTGATTTTCTTCATATATGTGACGTTTTGTACTGGTGCCCCTCGATATCCTAGAGCTGCAGTTCTCAAACTGCGAATCCTCAGGAGTCCTCGAGAGTGTTCATAAAAACCCGCGCCAACTAAAAGAAAAAAAAAAGAAAATCTGTTCTATGTCGTTGCACAAAATTTCTTATGCATGAAACGGCCTCCGAGTAAAGGCCTGTTCACACATGTAGCGGAGCGCTACAAGCGTAGCGCTGACCTCGCACTAAGCGCGTGCTGACGGCAGCGTTCACCAGCTTTGTGTCGCACCGTCAATTCTGTTGTTCATGGCAGACAATAAGTAGCAGACGACACGTGAGAAGCGCTACATTAGCGCTTCGCTGCATGTGTGAACCGGCCTTAAGTCCGAAGGGAGAAAAAAAAGGGGGGGGGGGGGGGGGGGGGGTTCGTGACGGTCAAAAGTTTGAGAACGTCTGTCCTTGAGTTTTTCGACTTTTTTGTGTGTCCGAGTGTTTCCTCTCTTCCAACTGTTCCTTGCAACTTTATCCACAATTTTTTACCGTTACATTCAAGCTTTGCATTACGTTTAAACATTATTGTAAAAAAAATAGCAATGCCCAAAATTTAAACAAAAACAGTTTATTTTACGTTCAACGAGTGGCCGCCACAGAAAAGTTCAATATAAACATTCTTCATTAATAGGAAACCTAACGTTACAAATAAAGATACTAGCTTATATAAGTAAACGCAAAGCGCGTAATGAAGCCGTTTCCATATTATGTGAGCACGCTTATTTCTCTTATATAATTCGAGTGTTTCTTCGTAATTTCGCAAGAAACAATAACAGAAAAGTGGTCGGTTAAGCTGTTGCGCACTCTTAGAAATACCTGCCTAGCCACTGGGGAAGGGCGGCATGCTAACATGCTGTTTAATTCTGTAGTCTCAGTCGCAAAACTTCGTTTACACTTATTGCCACCATGGCATGCACGACGATTGGAGCGTGCGTGCGTTTAATATCCTTCCCCCTGTTTCCCATTTCGGCCGCCAGACCGCGCCAATGTTCGCTGCACACTCGAATATGTTGTAGCGCCCCGCTTCTCTGCTTTATGTCTTGTGCGCTGGGTGGCGTCGCCTCCTCTGTAGTATATATGCTGTGTTAGATATATGTATTAGGCGGGGAGCACCCACCCAACGACATCGCGCGAAGAGATTGACTTCCTCAATGCCCTGGGATTTGACGACAACGGTGAAACAAAACTATTTCAAGAGGCTAAGTAAGAGAGGATTAGAATAATGGTGGTTAAAAAGAAGGGGGCATAGAGATTTAATCTGATTAAATTGGCTTAAGCATCGGTTAATTAGCACTAAGAATACTGCTTAACATAGTTTGTGCAAATCACCTCCCGAGCCAAAGGGTACAGCTGCCACGTATCCATCTATCCATCTGTTGCGAATACGTTGATAGCAAAATGACTAAAAAGGGATGTTTAAGGCGTGGTCTGGAACAGCATGGAGGCAGGCATTTCTGAGTTTGGTGTCCCAAGTCTTCTGTCAAGATATGTAGTCGTAATTAACTGAACGCCGAAGATAAGAGCAGTGCCTGAGAGCAAGACCTTTCCATCTTTCAGGTGCACATCCAAAACTCGACGGTGGCCGGCGGCGTCGCCATGGGAGCCACTGCGGATATGATGGTCCACCCCTACGGGGCCTTCATCATCGGATCCGTGGCGGGGGCACTCTCCGTCTTCGGATACAAGTTTATTACGGTAAGATGCGCGTGCAAATAGAAATAATATAGGCTATTCTTTTTTGTTCATTATTATGCGCGGTAATGAAGTGATCTTCGAGGACAATGCGCACACTCTGTTAGCTTGGCCACGGTCGCTCGATTCTGGTTCCCGTTCCAATGGGAAGGGCCTGCAAAGTGACTCTTTTTGGAGGGGGAAACGAAACAGCTCAGAGCAATTCCGAAGAGTGGTATTGAGCCGGGTGACGCTGTATAGCGGTCTCACGGGCCCCGACATAGAACGGTTGCGACATCATTCTCCCTCTTAAGGCGAGCACACTCTTTTATCTTTATTTCTTCCCCTTTCTCGCTCGAGTGTTGGCGGTTGCGCCGACTAGATCGTGCCAGTATAACTTGAGTCAGAGCGCAGTCAAAGGCTAAACGACACCCAAAAAAAAAAAACGCACAAACTAAAGCGCGAAGACTGCGCTCAGAAATAAGACGATGAACCCGTGACGTTTCGCTTTCGGTGTGACTTGATTGGTGACATGGGATCCTGGCATTTACTGTGCTTTGATGGCATTCTTCATTCCTCCTTCTACCTCGTTCTCACTCTTTTGTCTATAGAATTTGCTCCTTCGCGCTTGTACAACGACGGTAGAGCCGTCTTGATTGCTCCCACACTCTTAGAAAAAAGGGTACGGATAGTCCTCCCTTACGGGAGGAACGGTCTTGTAACCTATGTTCCTTTAGAAAGGGAGAAACCTTCGTCCCTGAAGCAGGGAGCAAAGTTCCTCCGTCGCTTGCATCTCAATATGGCGGCCCCGTATCGAGCAAATCGAGCCCAATAAGGCTTAACGAGGACGCTACGTCTCTTGTACGGGACGAGAGCAGCAGCAAATGAAAGCGTAACACGAGCTTTCCGCAAATTGTGTTTATTTCCGAAGCCAGATTCCCCCCACAGGTACAGAAACCTGCGTTTCGAAAGCAGTTACTCAGTCTTCTCGTCAACAGCACTGCGATGTTAAACGGAGACAACCGATACCCAGTTACTTCGCGCACTTTGCGTCTTACCTTTGGTGTTCCTCGAATCACAATTCCTTCGTCAACCGCACATCACGGAGAAGGGCAAACTCACTCCGCGAAACTAAAAGCCGCTCTCGAAAGAACGAACTCGAAGCCGCTGTTTATCGCGTAGCGTGAAAGAAGGTTAAATCGCTAGCCACCAGATGGCGGGGTCAAGCAGAGTAATTGCAAGTAGCTAGGCTAGGTGGCGCTCGGTACCGCCCAATTCATGTTCTACAAAAAACAATTTGCTTCTTTCAGGCCACTACTGCGCCTGAGGACCCTCTACTATACACACATGCAACCCATACACATTATTACAAGCATCAGGTGAACATACATTAAGCACATGCACTGCTCACACAAATATCAATACAACGGAACACCACACTAACCCGAACACTACACCCTTGCTCTGCATTTCCGTCTTTTATACTGGTCGTTTTGAACGTGCGGAACTTTTCGGTGACTCCCTAAGCAATAAAAAATATTCCCAGCATGTTGAATTTTTCCCTGCAATGTCATACCTCTGAGAGTATTTTGAATGGCTCAGGGGTTGAATCTCTTATTAAAAAGTAAACGCTCAATCATGCCGTAATTATTTGAAAGCCAATAAATCAAGCCGCTCCAATGCGGTTCGAAGCCATGAGTTTGTTTCCCCACACGGCACGTCGTAGCTTGTATTTCTATTTGTTTTTCTATTTGTGCTGTTCGCGCAGAGCTGCAATTGCCGTTTGAATTAATCTCTGTAGAGCGGATATTCAGTAGCTGGAAGTGATGCTTCACGGACTGAGAAATTGCTTTTCGATCAACTTGAATGTAGTCAAAGCCGCGACTTGCGGCAGGTTTAAGTGTACGGAACTACGCCGTGGCGAGCCCGAAAACTTCTAGCGCTCATCCCAGCGCACCACGGAGGGCAGTTTCTCCAGCAACCGTATAATTAAACAGCAAAATAAAGGGTAGCTTTTTTTTCGATTTTACCTATTATTGTTTTTAATGCCGAAATTCCATACTGTAAATATACGTACTTTACGTCACGATTTCGTACTGTTCAGTCCTTGCCCTTGAGCACAATCGCTGTCGGGGACGAGACAATTCCGACAGTCACATTGGCCACTGTACGATAGGAGCTTCTACTGTTCAGACCATGACTATCCGCACGTTGATCGATTGCACGTAATCTCTCAAGTGGTATTAAACTTTTTAATGTAAAGCGGAATGTCAACCTGCGACACCCCGCCCCCACCGATCACAACCCGACCAGCGGCATCAATGCCCAACAGTTTACGATCTTATCTTCTTGTTACACCACTGATACGCGAACACATGGTCCCATCGGCGATAATTCCAGTCTTCTGTTCACAACCCGACACTGTCATCACGATGTTGCAGCTATGTTGCTGACACGCACAAACACAAAACCACGTTGAACGCCGGTTGCACTCGGCATCGGAAAACAGAACCAAACTCAGGGGGGAAGGCACCCAGGCAGCCGGCAGCAAAACCTGCCTGTCTTGGACGCAGTTCCTGCGGTTTCCATAACGTCGAAAACGTCGACACAGTTCCGCGTGCTTTCGCTACTGTAGTCTGTAGTGCTGCAGCCTGCAGTGGCTGTAGCTGTAGTTCCGTGCCGCGCGAGTCACGCAATCCGGAGACGGCCATCCTCCAGTGTACGTGGCGCTGCTGGCACTGCTCCGGGACTTCGCTGTTTCTAGCGGCTTCGTTTGCTCGTTTGATAAAATTAGTGATAAAAATGGCAATGCAACCGAAATGTTCTGGACGTTTAAACTAGAAGACGGAATTACAGGCGGCCTTCGCTGCTGCTGAAGCTCAATCGACTCAACAGCTATTTATTAAACAACGTGCGCGACCTGCTCGAAAAACGAAACCGAAAGACGATGAGTCGGGAGGGCGAAAGCTTTCTCCCGTCTGCGTGGAGAAGGAGAAAAACATTTCGTTCCTCCCCTTTTCTCGTGTCCGCTTGGAGGCGCGTCGGTAGAAGGGAGGAAGGCGCGCCGTTGCTACTTTTTTCCTCCCTTTTTTCTTAGAGTGCAGATAGCAGGTGGTATACCTCGAAGAGTGTCGTTATTTTTCCGTATGGAGGGGTCGTGGTCAAAACCCGTTGATGATGAAGACTGAAGCGTGAGTTTTATTACGTAGCTTTACTCGTATGCGCTAGGCTATTTCTGCTGGCGTCAGTGTTGTTTTTATATTAAAAAGACATACCTTCTTGACCACACATTTTAAAACTGCTCTTATAGATTAATCACGTGGTATGTGTTTGATTAGGCAGCGGGAATTTTGTCAACCTTTAGTGGGAGTCTGGTATTTTCGTCGCTCTAAATTAGAAATTTGGCAAATGCAGTATGACCTGTCTTTAACGTGCATCCCGCAGTAGTGGTACACGACCGCACGCCGGTATACGATGCTCATCCAGATCAAAACGGGCAGGGGTGGGGATTGAAACCAGCATCCCTGGGTTTTGGCTTTATAGCTCGAGGCTCATTCTGCGACATAAGAATATGTTTGTGTTTGTGTTCTTTCCTACTGTACCTGACCTCGATAAAGGTGTGCGAATTGCACGGGACTGGGAAAAAAAACTTTAAGCGTCGACGGCACGAGTTAGTCAGAGCCCAGTCTTTGAACCCAGCAGCCCGTGGGTAAAAAACGGTCGGTATTTTCGGAACAGCAGCCAGCGGTGTTGCTCGGCGTTAGGTCAGGCGGAACGCCAGAACGTATTTGGCGCCCGACGTAGGGCTTACTCCTGCCTGGCGGAAGAGAAAAAAAAAAAGACACCTATGTGTGACACCCAACCCACCTAAAATATGGTAGTACATTTCATTCAACATTACCACGGGTTTTCGACACCTCTATTTGCAAACATGAGCTTCATTAATAATTCCTATAAAGTTATTCAAAGTTACAAAAAACGCGTATCGTCTTCATCGAAGATCGTAGCGCCATTCTCAATCTTTAGATACATCCATAGAAGGTATGCTTGCGCCATCTCTTAGCAGGTTACGGCAGCGCTCCCATAGAAGCCCATGTGCTTAATATACAAATATGACCATAACACAAAAACATTACACTTTGAACAATTTGCCATGCTACTACTGCATTCTATCCTATACAGCTATTCTTGTGCCAAAATTTCAGGAGGATGACCTGTAAACTGCAGGTTCCTCAGCCGAATAAACTTTTCGATGTATTGCCACTACAGATAGTGTCCAAGTTAACCAAAGTCTACAGTTCATTCTTGGGTATAAAACACTTGTTATGATTTTATAAACTAATTAGAATCTCTTCCCAATATTATGGCAAATTCGGTAGTGTCTAAAGTATGTATTCTACATATTTACATATTGTTCTACGTATGTAAATATGTAGAACAATATGTTTCGAAGGCTCCTCACGCAAACTTTTGAGAAACAGCGAGGTTCAAACAAGCTCAATTTAAAAATACAACAAAGTACAAGGTTTCCCAAACGACTGAAGTAAACCAGAAGAATCTATAATGTGCTGGGTACATTTTGTGTTTTCTCAAAATTATTTTTTTGGATTCCTGATGCCAATTTTCCGAACAAGGTGGATTCGTTTAGACGTTTACAATAATTTCCAGTATTTTGTTGCTCATATCAATAAACTAGGAAACAAAACAGCTTTTTTACTAAAATCTAAAATTTTAAACTTTTCAAAATATTCTCTTTAATTATTATTGTTACGTGATCATAACGAAGTGATTGTCTAATTTAAGGAGTGGGAGCACTGCCGGGAGTACCCAATTTATGAGAGGATGATTGTTTTTGTTAACTTAATATGCACATGTCAAAAGTAATATTTAATCACGTACTAAATATTTACATTAAATTAATTATCTCAATCGCCCTAAACACAAACAGTAAAAAAAAAAAAGCGGATGAAAGGGGTTTGGGTTATCCTACTTGATATCACATTCCCCGAAGAGGGCGGATGCCC